GGAGTGCCCAGAGCAGCACATTGTACCCAAAAATACCAGCAGTGGCCAGGCAACTGAAGGGCAAGAAGGCAGGCAGGAAAAGGATAAGTACAATATACTTCTAGACAGGGAGGAAAGGAATAAGTTTTTGAGGCAGAGAGTAGAGGGCAAAGCATCTCCTAGAAAGCAGCCAGAGATTTCCTGCAAAAGAAGTGTATATCAAAGTGCACACTTTTATATTTTTAATGACTTTTAGAATTTTAAATTAGATTTTTTTTTTCAAAATCTGTGGTCAAATATTTTACATTTTAAACATTTATAAAGTTTTAAAATTTCAATCCTTAAATGAACTAGCAAAAAAACAAACCATAGTCATAGAAAAAGAGATTGACACTGTTGTGATGTATAAAATATGTTCCATGTACGTGCTTATGCCTATAGAAGACTCAAATTACTCATGTACCAAATGTAAACTAAACTGATTACTGGAAGAAAAAGTAAAGGGTCTAGAGGAAATTCTAGCCATTCCGAAATTCAACCTACAAAATGAAAAACTTATACCTAAGCAAGAAGACTATATCCAAACAGAACATAATAAGAAACAACCAAACTCTGAAAAAAATGACCCTGTATATGAAGTTTAGAGGAAGGCCTATGTAAACATGTCACTCAGAGAAGACAACAGAACCAAGAACAATGCCCCTGCTGTCTAGTCCAGTCTCTTTGAAGTTGACCAATTGATTTCACAGCCTCCCCCTGGAAGAAAGCATCAGACACCTAGAAAAGAGGCATCATCAAGCGCTCCTATGAAAGGAAGAAAAGTAGCTCAGAATTTCCTAGAGAAAATATGGTGAAAATCATTGACAAGAGATTCAGTTCTCAGGGGAACAGGACCAGCCATCTGTAGACTGGACATTCAATATAGAGGGGTATGTTGCCTCCCTGGAGCAAACATCAAAGATGTGACTGAGAACATTACTAAAATAATCGGTACCACAGATTACTACTGCTTTCTTCTCCTTCATGAAGAGATGAATGACACAACAATGAACCTGAAAATGATATTGAGAAATTATGATTAGCTAGGCAAGAAAGTTAAGGAGTTAGGAGCCCAAGTGGTGTTTTCATATGTACTTCCAATGAAAGGTCAACACTCAACGAGGGAACAAAGAATATTAGAAATGAAACACTGGGTTAATAATTGATGCCAGCAAGAGAACTTCAGATTCCTAGACCATGGTGTGCATTACGTACATAAAGGATTTCTGGCAAGGGAGGGGCAGTACCTCAAAAGAACAAGGAAGAATGTACTCAGAAAACAACTGGATCAACTTATCAGAAGGACATTAAACTAAAGTTGAGTGTGTGTGTGTGTGTATGTGAGAGAGAGAGAGAGAGACAGAGAGAGAGAGAGAGATTAACCTTTAGGATATTTAGGACTTAATCTCAACATAAACCCCAAGACAACTAATCAAACAATGAGGTAGGTAGTGATGGAAGGAAGAAAAACTCAATTGTAAAATATAAAATAGGAGATAAGTGGGCAAACACATATGATATAATCCATCTTCCACCCTCATTTGAGTCAGAAGTGTCCTCAATATCTTCTCACAAGATGAATCCCCAGCTACTTCCCTCCAATTGATCAGAAGGTGAAGGGAACCCTATCAGAGGACAACCTTCAAAAACTCAATTCAGCCTTTATATCAGCCAACCCTTCCCAAGATTTACTAAAACTTTATAAAAACATAGTTCATAAGCTACAACCATTACTAGCACATAATCGGAGCTTTTCAACTAAGAGGGCCTGTATCACCTCCAAACTATGGTTTGACAAGAACCGTGTAGAAGCCAAGAAAGCTCTCACCTTGGCCTATAAGTAGTACAAAAACAAGACTGGGAAGGGCAATAAAATAACTCTTAAACATCTTCTTACACTCAAAAAACAATTTAAGCAATTGATTACTCTTAAGAAGAAACACGACACAAGGTCCTCCTGGGGACAGTTTATTGTGGCAGCAAAGCAAAAGAACTCTTCTCTATTCTGGCATCCAATAGCTAGTCACCCTGACAGAATTCATACCACACTAGAGGCCTGTATACTTCCTACAACCTGGGAACTTCACTTTCAGAGAATATATGAAGACCCCTCCAGCGAGAGTATAAGGTATACAATGAAGGATTCACCTGAATGGCTCCCAGTTTCAGAATCCAAAATTAAAATTGCTCATTGGCCAACTCAGGACTAGGAAAGCCCCAGGAGCTGACTTCGTTTCTGCTGAATTATTAAAGATCAATTTGGAGTGGTGGATACAAGTTCTGGCAGCGCTATTCACTTATATCGACTCCACTGGCCATGTCCCGGAAGATTGGTGCTTGGCAATTGTCCCAATTTTTAAAAAGGGAAAGAGAGATGACACTGCCAATTACAGACCAATAAGTCTGCTAAATGTAATCAGCAAACTCTATGCCAAATACTTCCAAGATAAATTAAAGGAGTGGATAAATCTTGAGAATTTGATCACTGAAGAACAAACCAGGTTTAGAGACGGGAGAGGCACCATAGATCAGTGCTTAGTTCTTCATCATCCGATTGAAAAAGATGTATCAAATAGACCTGTATGATTATATGATCTCAAGGCAGCTGTCGACCCTGAAGCTGACCTGACCAAAGCCATTTGGAGCTTCAGTGTTGTCACTCTGGAGCTGAGGGATAGGGAGCGGGAAAGAGACATAGCTGGGCTTTTGAAGCCAAAACAAAATACTTTTCCTGGGAATCAAGGACATTCTCACACCTGGTCTGAGAAGAGAAGAGTGATGTTTCCAGGCAATTGGATGGGACCATGATTGGACCAGGTGACTGATTGTTTGCGGGAAGAGAAAATCTAATCAGGTGAAAACCATGGGAATCTTCAGAGTCGGTTTCCACCAGATCTGTGCCAATATGAAAATTTTCTTGGAGCAATCTACCTACCTCAGAGTTTTGTCTACTATGGGTGTACTACAGCCTTTTATACAGTTACCAGGTCTAAGCTAAGGGAGAAGCTGGAAGCTTCCTCAACTGAACCACAGGCTTCTTCATCTATTATGCACCCTACATACTAAAACATCCCTCAAGGTGAGGTGTAATATGCAAGGGTCCCTCTCAAAGTCAGTCAAAACTCAAAAGGGGGTTAAATGGGTGTGTTTTGGCCCCCTTGTTTTTCAACCTCTACATAAATGACATGGTAAAATGGTTAAATAAACCATTAAATTACCTTCCCCCCAAAAGTAGGTGATTGAACCATCTGCATGCAAATGATACTGTGATCCTCTACAGGACACCAGTAGGCCTTAAAAGAACCTTGGGAACCTCATCCAGTATTGTAATTACAATAATCTGGACATAAATTATGAGAATAATTGCAAAATGGCCAAAACTCTATTCATGGTATCTAAATGGCCATACTATATAGCAGGGAAGCACCTTCAAATACCTGGGGGTGGTCATCCAGGTCTCGAAAAACACATGATGAATATTGGCTGCCCTGGGCTAAAGATCAGCAAGCACCACCCTTATTTTTTTCTGCACAAAGGGAAGACTTTATGCCTCTGCTGCAATTAAGCTTTCTCTGGCCATGTTGTAGCACAGCTTCTTTATGGGACCTTGCTTGGACCCTCAGCTTTATATTTTACACCATTGGAAAAAGTTCAACCCAAATTCATTAGATCAATTCTCCAGGTGCCGGCATTGTGTCCCAAATGCAGTGATGGTATTCTACCAGTTCGGCCCGGTTCTGGCATACCAGTAGCACCGAAGATCAGCTGGCAGAGAACCAGTTTACTCTGAGCCTCTCTGACGCTCTGCAGTTGGGCCCACCCACCTGCCCCTGCTTCTAGATCCTTTTTAACCTCTCAGCTGTTTGGTGCAGCAGAGCTGATTGCTGTGCTAAACAGCTGAGAGGCACAGTAGCTTAATTTTTACTGTTTTAATGTGTGCACAAAGCATGCGTTTGGCATGCATGTGTGCAGAATCATGCAATCGTGCAAGTCACAGGAGTCACAAGAGTTTCACGATCCCACCCTTGCAGCCACACCCACCAAGCCACGCCCACAGAATCAGTGGTGGGAACTTTTGAATCCCACCACTGCCCAAATGCACTTCTGCACCTGGAGACAGGATTGACAAAAGTCGAAGCAAGAATCTCTAGCTAAAGCTTAATTTCTTTCCACAAGGTCTGGCTCCATTAATCCTCCGGGACAAATTCTCCTCATCATGGATCAAAGCTGTCGAGCCCAACCTCGCCAAACTAGGCTTCTCCCCAGCCTCAATACTCAAGATGGACTATGACAAGGCAAACAGACTTAGGGAAAGCTCTGCTGTTTCTGTCTCCAGACACCATTAATTATATTGCTACTCCGGTTAGTTATCTTAGCCAGTTGGAGTCAGCAAACCATTGGAAAGCATTTTCACTCACATGGTACCATGCACTTCCATCGGCTGTCCTATATGGCAAGTATAAAAATATAATTAACTCCTGTGGTTCAGGAGAGATGGAGACTGTTGGTCACATACTCGTTTGATGTACCTTTTACAGAGAGATTTGGAAAAACATATTCTTCAAATAATTGCTGGCTGTTCTGAGACTCCTTATCTCCAGCGGCGGTGTAAGGATGAACAGTCCATAATTACAACACAGGTGGCTAGATTCTGCATAGCAATACTGGGGGTTCATGACTCATAAATGACTAAATTATCTATACACTGATGTTTGTCCTTTGTGATTGAAGAGGACCTTGACATCTAACGGGTTGGGGCTGTCCATGGTGTGTCTGCAGGTGGCTGGTAAAATTTGCTTGATTGAAATCTGCTAAAATGATGGGAAGGGAATCTGGATGTTTGACTTCAACCTCCATAATTTGATCAGCTAGAATTCCTTGCCTTGTTTACACAAGCTTGTGGAGGAACATACACAGCTATTAGGAGAAATGAGAAGAAATGTGGAGAATAAAATGGCTTGCAGTTGATATGTAAAGACTATTAAGTTTTCATCACAGAATTTATATATTATAGTTATAACCTGAGACCAGCTGTTGTTGATATATAAACATAATCCTCCACCCTTTGTTTTACCTGATGTCTCTTCAATTCTGTTTGACCTAAATATCTGAAATCCTGGGATGTATATGCTGTTGTCATCATGAATTTCTGCATTAAGGCAGGTTTCAGTAAAACAGAGAACTGCTGAATTGTAGAAATCAGAATTGCATCTATTTAAAAGATGTATTTCATCCATCTTGATAGCAAGTGAGTATATATTAGTTAGAAAGATTGAAGGGAAAGGATCCCCACTCCCATTCCTTAGTCTATTTAAAATTCCCACTTTTTTACCTTGTCTCCTTTTTGGGCACTGCCGCTTCTTTCTTTTGTTTGTTGTAATCCATGACACCAGCTAATTAGTTAGAATCGCCTCCGCTTTGGCAAAGACTAGGGGGAGGCGGGGCATGAGGAATCAGAAAGCTGCTCCTTAAAGAAATATTGCCCAATTCTCAGCAGATGGTCTCGTGAGTATGGAATCTGTAGTGAATTGCAGAGAATAATAAAGAATAAAGAAACCATTAGAGAGCATTTCACTGAGGCAGCTGTCATCGGTGCCATCTTGAATAGTGATGCTATCTTCCCCTCTTTTTTCTAGCTTACCAAGAAGTAGGTTGTAGTCTACTTTGTCGAATGCCTTCCTGAAGTCTAAGTATATTACATCCATAGTATTTCTCTGGTCTACAAATTTAGTTACTATGTTGAAGAATGAAATAAGATTGGTTTGGCATGATCTGTTTTTAACAAACCCATACTGACTTCTACTTATTACTTTACTTGTTTCTAGATGTTGGCAGATCTGTTTTTTATTATCTTTTCCAATATCTTCCCAGGTATTGATGTTAGGCTGATTGATCTGTAGTTTCCTGGGTCTGTTTTTTTCATCCCTTTTTTGAAGATGGGAACCACATCAGTCCTTTTCCAGTCCTCTGGTAGCTCCCTGGTGCTCCAGGATTTTTGAAAGATGTGGTACAGTGATTCTGAGATGGCATCTGCCAGCTCCTTTAGAACTTTGGGATATAATCCGTCAGGTCCTGGTGATTTGTATTCATCAACATCAGACAGGTGTTTTCTTACCATTTTTTTGGTTTTTATTTCTAGTCTGTCTTTTACAGTGATGCTTTTGGTAGGTTGGGCTATAGATTCTTTTTGCATGAAGACTGATGCAAAGAATGAGTTAAGCAGCTCTGCTTTCTCTCTGTTGCCTGTTTCTTCCTTGCCATCTTCTCTCTTTAGTGGACCAATTGTGTCCTTGATTTTTTTTCTTGTTATTTACATGTTTTGTTTTGTTTTTAATTATCTTTGACTTTGGTGAATTCTGCATTTTGGTTCATTCTGAGCTCAAGGAGGATCTATGTTTCAGATGAATCTAATACCCATCCAAGTAAATGTTTCTTATGTCATAGGAGACAGGTCTGTCTTCATTGATACAAGGCTAAAGCCAACCAGAATTTATAAGCCTCTCAAATTAGAATCTGCAGGCTCTTTTTAGAGTATTGAATATATCCTTATACAATGAAACAGGGAGGATAGACCTTTTTTATATAAAAATAAAAAGGAAAATTGCATATTAAAATGAAAAAGTACTAATCTTAGCCATAGTTGATTGGTTGCTATAAATACTTTATTGCTTTTACTTCTTACAGCTCTGTTTGGTTTAAAATACTTGTGAGGTTATCATTCAAATTCTACTAATCTTTTCTGTTTCACTGATTAAAGCATTTGGCCAAATAAATATAATAATTAAATAAGACCATGAAAAGATATGTGTAGAAAAATGCTGATTAAAGGACAATTTGGAAAGCTTTCCTTTGCATGCCGTTATTGTAGTCTTTAAATACAAAATAAAAAAGAAATATAAGCATTTGAAAAATGTAAATTCCATGGATTAAATGAGGATAGGGAGCAGAAAAAATAATGTGGAAAGCTTTAGTTTGAAGGACGAAATTAGTACTGTAAATAAAATTTGTTTTATTTGCTCATTTAAGCTCTCTTTTCCTTATTTTAAATATTATGTTGGAATTTTCCAAGGGAATATTAGTGACTACCAAAATATGCAGAAAAAAAGATTACCACAGAGATGCCGGATAAAATATTGCAAATAATTCATCATATTATGGAGAATAGCCTTTTAGCCTTGACAATGCTAAAGAGCTGATATTTTAAATTCCAACTCTTTAATGAAAGAATTTTGATATAATACATTAAAATGTATGTATTTTACAGATATATTTGTTGCATTTGTTTCCTACAAATGCAGGTTTGTTTCATAACAAACCTGCAAGGTAGGCTAAACTATGAGATAGTGATTGGTCTCATAATCTTCCATAAGTTTCCCAGTTGAATAAGAATTGAAATTAAGGTCCAGCATAAAAGAGAATGTGTACCAATTATCTACCATATAGCCATCTATCAGTTTTCCCTTTATCAGGTCAGTTAACAAAACCAGGGTTTAAAGCCAGCAGTATTAAATATTCATGAGGGAGTGAAGTCAGACATAAGACTTCACTCATTGGTTCACTCACTCATCCACCGGGAAAATGAACCAATATCAGTTGCTGAAGTGCCAGACAGCTCCCTGTTAAAGGAAGCTGCCAGTAGCAGCGTTCCCTTGTCTTTTACCGAAACTGAATAAAAGAGCTGATTTCAACTCTCTGTGTGTCCTGCCTCTTCAATCAACCCCAGACTTATCACTGGCGATGAAGGTGGAATGTTAGAAGAGAACAAAGGACCAGCATCCACATGGCATCAGTAGCCATCTTCGCAGCCAAACCAGCAGCCCACATTGGCCATCCCAAGATGATCACACATGCTCCATCAACTCAATCCAACCCAACTATCGAAGAATGGTCCTCATATATGGGTCGATTTAAATTGTTCATGGTAGCTAACAATCTTCAGGATCTGTCGGACATGAGGAAAAGCACACTTTTCCTGAGCTATTGTGGTCCACAAGTTTACAAAATGGCTAAATCATTATCAGTGCCAACAGAAGTAGAAACCATCGAGTGGGCTACACTTGAAAACATCTTGAAGGAATATAATGCAGGCATGAATTTTACAGCAGAAACCAGAAAGCGGGTGAAACAATTAATGTGTCAACTCATAAAATATTTCTATAGTCTTTCAGAGTGGCCAACAGAAAGGGAGAGGGAAGCAGTGCAGCAGCCGAAACTGCAAAAATGTTTTCAAAGATGATTGAAGTTTCTGCCATGCAAAATTCTAACTGGAGAGCATGATTGGTGACTCTTGGCTATGGGTGTGTCCCACTGGAGAATATAAATTATGATACACCCAGGGGGTGGGGGAAAACCAGGGTCAAGGGTGACAATGAATGATATGTCTCAGAGTCAACAACACCCAGGCAATGGTAGATCTTTTAACTCCCAATAAATCCTTTTGAAGTTTTGAAAGTTTGGCTGGAGACTCATGACTCTCCTAATTCATCATCAGTACCAGGACACCTGACACCCAGACTCTTCCATCACTTCCCGACATCTGGACTGTGTGGAGAGAAAGTCACATGGCTGTGGCAGAAGGGGGAGTATCAGAGGAGGACTTGCTTCAAATTACCCAAATGCAAACAAAAGCTGATGATGTAGTTACAGCCAAAGTGGAGAAACCAACGTGCATTTAAAGATGCCTTTTTGAAACCCATGCAATTCTTGCTTCTTTGGCTGGCTAGCTAGGTGGGCTCTAGAAAGAAGGTTTGGAACAGACTCTGAGACTCCCTGCTTCCCAAATTCCCCAAGCGTGACCCCAAGAGATAGACTGGCAATTGTACACATAGGTGTACACAGAAGCAAATGAGGGGAAAGCAGGAAGCACTCACAAACACAACAGATCACCCTTTTGGGGCAGAAATTATAAAGGACCTCTAGTCATTTTTGGAAAAGGAATTAGAAATTATTTATTTATTTAGATTATACAAAGGCTTTGATGTTGCTTCAGTTGTCAAGAATTAAATGATTTACAAGCAATCAAAGACAATGCTGTGCCCTCTTTCCTGTCTCTGTATAAAAATTAAGAACTGATAAAGAATTTCTCCCATAGCAATCTATGGCATGAAAAGTTTTAGGGGAAAATGGGAGCTATTCATCCTTTTAAATAGACTTTGAAGTTGCAATCACTGTGACTTAAAAGGGAAAAAACATCCTCCAAATGGATGATTAATGCCAAATAGAAACCATCTTACTAATGAACCATCAGGCACTCTGGCAAACAATAAGAGAAAAATACAAAGCCCTCTGATGCGTCACCTATTCAAACAATAATGATAAATATTGGTGGTTTCTTAAATACAAGAAGTGGTCCCTACATTATACATTATTTTAATTATTCAGTATTTTAGAGTGAAATTTCACAATGGAATTCTTCCATTCATACATTTAAAGGCAAAGATATTATATCCAGATTTGTTTGCTCATAGTACAGAACTGTTCCCTTGGATAGCTTAGAAAACCGCCAAAAATTCTAATTAATTTTATTTAGATCCATGATCAGCATAATTTAATACTTAAAATGATCAGATTGTGAATCTTCCTAAATATTGGACAGAATGAGAAAACATGTTTTACCAAAAGCAGTGAAGGTGTAACCCAATGGTTATTAAACATTATTAATACTTAACAATTCAATAAAATCAATAATGATTATTAATTATTTAACCAGGGATAAATATTTCCCAAATCACAAACATATTTCAAACCACCACCTCAAATGAATTGATTCACTGAAGAATATCTGTTTCTCTGTTTTGTCTGTGGCTCATACACATATAGACACGTTCACACATCTCCATTCATTTGAACACATTTGTCAGCCCCGTCTCTGTCCACCACCATCCCATCAAAAAAGCAAGAATTGCTCAGAATTTCAGAGTAAAATGTCTTTAATGTTAATCTCTGGTAAATACAGAATACTGGAAACTCTGTGGGATTTCTAACATCCATTTTTAGTAAATTCAATAAGACTGGATTTCTTTAAATGATTTGAAATATTTCCTCCCAGGTTTCTCACTTGCACTAAGTTGCTGTTTATAAGATAAGTGCCAACTGACTTGCCTTCATTCTCCTGATTGTTTATGTGTATCTACTTCTCCTTCCATTCCTTCCCAGACTTGCCACAATCTTTTAGAACATTGATCTATTTATTCGCTATACTTGTGGGGTTTTTTCAAAAATATCATTGAAATTGCTGATATCACAAGC